AGGCAAACTACAATAAATAGGTATGGGAATGTTTATAGATAATTTGTAGAGAATTAAATTCTCTTTCTGATAGGCTAAAAAAATATGGGGCGTTCCATTTAAAATTTTCGACTTTCTCGCCATTGAATATGGAGAAACAGTAATTCAATTTTTGACCATCCTGTATAAGATACTCCGATACAACAAATGACAATCTGTTTGACAACATCTGAAGAGTAATCGTGCCAAAGTAGATCTTTTTTGAATGAACATTGGCTGAGATATTAAGTTTTAAAGAGCATGTTGAAATTTACCAAAAAAGTTTAAAACCAAAATAACTCGAAATCGAAAAACGCTAGGTACCAATAACATTTATCAAAGTCAACCTATTTTTTTACGTACAATTAAATTGTGGAATAAAAACTATAACATTCCATTTAAAATAGCGAAGTTATGGTCTACTTCCGGTAGACCGGAAGTGGCGGCCATCTTGAAAAAATTTTAGATCGAAAGTTCCGAATGAACAACCCATGCTACCAAAATTTCAAATCTCTATGAATAGTAGAACCTGAAAAAGTTCTAACGAACCAGTTACGTGAGACACCCTGTATAAGTTATAAGCCGAGAACAAAGGAACTCTAAAATAAATAATCAGCAGATTTTTTTGTAATCGCCGTAATAAAATTATGCGTTCAACTAAGAGATAATTTAGTCTAGTATTGATACTCATTGTATTATATTCAGTGTCTTTTTGTAATCAATTCAAATAAATAAGTTTTCAACTTTTTAAAAATTATTTTACTATAACGAAAAAGTTAACTTACAGTGAAATTTCCCTAACTCGAATCACTAAGGGAGCGGAAGAAAACTTCCAGTTATGGAAAATTCGAGTTAGAGAAAAATTAGTAGAATTTTAGTTCTATAGAAAAAAATTAGAAATGTACTTTTCTAATACGTATATTTAACACAGAAACCTTAATACTATTGTAACTAGAAAATTAATCAAGTTTTTTAAAGTAATCCGTAATTTTCTTTTGGCTTAAAGTGGACAACCGCTCTTTGTCGAAAAAATCTTCTATTAAATGTAAAGAATTGTGAATATTATCTGGAACATTCTCTCTTGATAATACAAAGGTTTCAAGCTTTCAAGAGAGGAATAAGCTTCATCAAATGTAGGCACAGCGATAAGTATTTCATTTTTAAGATTATCATCACTCTCATTTGATTCTGAAACAATAAGAACATTAGGTTTGTTTTGGTTCAAGAGTCTGTAGTTTCTGAACCAGAGTCTATGTGGTTTGATTCTGTAGTTAAAATTACTTACAGTGCGGATTCGAATACTTTATTCTTTGGTAAATTCGACTTATAGAAGTTAAAGTTGCAGAAATTCCATAGTAGTTCAGTTCGAGTTACAGAGAAATTCGAGTTAGGAAAATTCGACTTCGAGAGATAAAAACACATTTGAAACCTAGTCAAACGCTTCAGCTTACGAAAATTATTCAACTTAGAGAATAATTCGAGATATAGAAGTTCAAGTTAGGGGAATTTTACTGTAGGTATACAGGGTGATTTAAAACATACGGAGTAGATTAAAAGGGTAGGTACTAGGGGCCAAACTGAAGATATTTTCTTAATAATGTTTTGACTACAACGTAATATCACAAAGATATAGAATGTTAAAGTTGAATTAATGGCCGAGCATTTCTTACGATATACGGTATTACACTACGTTTAAATTCAAACTGCGAATATTTCAGGGTTACTTAAACAATGCATAATAAAATTAGCACCAATAATAATAAAATCTATGTAATATGGCAGTTACGGTTACCATACCATAATAATAATAATAATAATGATCTTTTTTCGCTAAAATACAAAAAAAAAATACATAAAATTCTGTATTGCAAAAACGTCCGGAAAAAAAATATAATAAGTTTGAGTTTAAAACAGTTTATGTAGGGAGGAAGAAAAAAAGAAAAATAATTGCAGAATCGAAAACCTTAACCTCTCATATAATTTAAAAACTCATTTTCACTGTAGAAAGCGCCTTCAATAAGTACTTTCTTTAAGTCTTTTTTAAAAATAGTTGTAGGCTTTTGTAACCATTGCTTGGGAAGAGCATTTAACAAATTACGGTGACCGTATCTTGTCATAGTTGTTTTCATACGGCAGTACGGTATGGCGACTTGTGTACCATTTCTTAAATTTATCTGAGTAACCTCTTTTCTGCATGTTAATGAAGGTAATTCTATTTTAGCCTTCCAAAGTTGTTGGTAGATGTACACGGATGGAAGTGTGAGTACATTATATTTTTTAAATAGGGGCTTACAGTGAGTTCTTGGATGCGCCTGTTCAATTATTCTTAGCGCCTTTTTCTGCAGTATGAAAACAGGCATTGTATGACCAGACGCTCCCCAAAGGCGTAGTCCGTAGCTCATCTTGCTGTGGAAAAAAGCAAAGTAAGCGGTTCTAGCAGCAGACGCGTTTATTATTTGGCGAATTCTTAAAATAGCGTAAATGGCAGATGACAGTTGTTTCACCAATATGTCGCTATGATCTTTCCAAGTTCACCCTGTATATCATCTAGATTCCGATGTGCTAAGTTTGACTATTGCGCATGCTCCTGGTGTAAGGAAAAGAGATTTCGTAAGTCAAGAATAAGGTATCTTTCTTTTTAGAAAAACTTATTCATGTAACAATAATCTTGTATAATTTTTCATTTAAGTATTAAAAATTATTGCCACAAGAATGAATTTTTTGATACAAAAAAATTGATATTCTTCGATGTTAAGAATATGATATACTTCATTCGATAATACTTCTATTCTTAAAACAAAAAAAATATTTTTGTTTTAAGAGTATCTTATACTTGTTTCTAACAAATACATTTAAGAATAAACTTTTCTTGAAAGTCAATTATAATTTCCCTCGGTGTATAAATCTTTTATTTTTAATTGTTAATTATTTAATTCCGTTTGTTTCATTATTTTATTTCCATTATTTATTCCATTTGTTAATTTAATTATTTAATTATCAAAAAAAAACTATACAACCTTGTAGTTTCCTTATTATTTTTTATTTTCTTTATTGCAAAATGAAATTACACATAACGTAAATACAATAAAATTTATTTAATTTTCCATTAATCTTGATAACGTTTCATGGTACGTTGGTGGAAATAGTTACGTTTCTTGGACGATTGTACCCCTAAAACTAAAATTTTGAGAGTTAAATCTTGAACAAATCATCAGAAATAAAAGCTTTAATCCCTCAACGTACATGCTCAAAAACTAGTACATAATTTATTATCTATTTAACTAATAGAAATAACATACTAGAATATTCCGAATTATTTTTTGATGACAAAATCTAGAATTAGAATAAAAATTTGGAGTAATGCTGTTTTTTAAATATTTTTGACCAAAAGAAGGTTCTACAAAGTTTTTGCTGTGTTTTTTTTGTAAAAAGTGTACATTAATCTTTTATATAATCCGAAAGATTGTATGTATTGATGTAATTTATAACATTTTCAATCACAGCTCATTTTCTTTTCAAAAGTGTTATTAAATTAACTTTGAACGTGTAATTAAAACATTTTATACCTGTCTTTGGAATACACATGTCGCAACAGATACACCTGTCCACATCACGTGGTACGAGAATATCATCTTTACTGCATATTGGTCGACCAGGGCATTTAATTATGAAGCAGAGAGTGGAATTACAATCTTGAAATAATCAAACTTGTTAAAATGACCTGCTCAAAATTCATATTGATTAATGTTTTATACCGTCTTTTTTTGGAATATAGTCGTCTAGGCCGCGAGGAAGTTCTTGATCAGATGTTGATATTGAATAGATCATCATTATAAATACCAAAAATACAACGATACTAAACTTCATTGTGGATGGTTTCGATTTAGACTGGAGTAGAACTAACGTGGAAATCCTATTTTATAATATATTTGAAGGTCAAAGTAATCATTATGGAATAGATAAGCACGTATTCTGTTAGAATTTTTTAGGGATGACTCGAAATGGAAAGAAACAGTACACTGTAAAAAATAACTAACTCTACTTTAAATCTAACATGTTTCCAGGAGGTTCATTCATTAAGCGATTAAGCAGCCCTCATTTTTTTCTTAAAAAAGTAAAAATGGATATTTATGAGATAGCTGGTGAAATGGAATTGATGGAACTGTATCGACCATCATCTACTGTGTCTACCACTCTTCCTATGGAATGCGACTGTTCTCTCAAAACCAATACGAAGACATCTCATGTTTTCATGACAAGAATTTATTTTTTCAATTTTATTTCGGTTCGTTAAATATACCGTGTGTTGGAAGAAAAGTGGCAAGAGTTAAAATTACTTGCCAAGAGTGCTCTACTACAATTTTTTTTAGAAATCGCGTGTCAAACTTAATAGACATAAATTCATTTAACCTTAATTCAAACTAATATCTTTTTTTTGAAAAAGTAAGGACTGTTGTTGTTTGATTTTTAAGTTCTATAGAAGCATGCTTCATAAGGTGTTCGTCCCTTGCCCCAATCTCAGATAATTTTAAATTTAAAAAATTGTAAGAATCGCGCTTGCTCACGGTTACGTCACCCCCGAAACGACCGTGTCCAATTTGGAAATCAAAAATCTCTCTCTTCGACCGGGCGTGAGCAGAAGAAGATCGGTGTTGCGCGTCATTGATGAGACATAATTAAACTAACTAATTTAAATAATGTGAGAACAAGGGGAAGGATTAAAAGTAAGACTAATTTGAAATATCTTTTATTTTATTTCTTTTCTTCTTTTATTAATCCACCAGCACCTTAAAATATTTGTCCCGGCTTCTTGTCGCGCGATCATAAGGAATACATTATTAAAAAGATCACTATTAAATTGCGAACATTTTTTAACGTTTTTTAACATTTACCACTTAACTAATTGTAAGAGACATGGATTTTTTTTCTTATTTTTACCAGAACAGGTATGAGTTAGCCTCTCACCCGGTGTCCGTTTGACGTTGAGTTTCGGGACATTCTGTATATTACAAATTCTAACAGTTCTCTTTTCTACGCATTTATCCGAACTATTGTTCGAACATTTATTAATCTTTGTAGTTTTAATAATTTTGTAACAATTAGTAGATGGATCACATTCAGGTGCAGAAATTTCTGATGTCTCATATGTCGACTGTTGAGGTTCTTGATGTATTAACGATTGACTCCAGGAGAAGAAAGAACACAGAGTCGGCTGAATTGTTTTCTTTTTTAATTCCTTTTGAAGTTCTTTATAATAATGATAAGCTTTATTTCCATCTTTAAAAAAATGTATAGAAAACGTCACATAATATTTAAACAGTAATCTACCGTAATGGCTCTAGAAAAAAGTCATTTATCGAATACAAATTTCTTTATAAAAGATGTTGTTTGAGATAGCTTTTGAATCCTGTGGACGATCTTATTTTCAAACTATTGGGTAGATGGTTGAAGACCTTAACACAAAAATGAAGTAGGTACATTTTTGTATCTTAGTAGACTGCGTTTTTGATGGAAATAAATAGACATCTTCTATTCCACGTGTGTCATAAGTCATAACAGTGTTGTTGTTCATATTTTTTAAAGAAAGTATAGTTATTTTTTATAGATATTGGTGATTCAAGAATCGCTAACGACGGTATTGTCAGAATTTTATAATATTTAAAAATGGGTTTACATGGTTCCCTTATTTCAAGTCCGAAAACTGAAAATTTTTTTCTGCGCTGTGATGATACGACTCACATCAACCGACTGACCCCAGAAAATCACTCCATACGCCCGATTTATCTTATAGCTAAGTAGATAGCTAAGTAGTTAATATCCTGTTTCTATGAAAGATTCACATCAATTTTAACACCCAAGAACATCACCTCTTCTGCAAAGTTGAGTTATTTGCCATTGAATTTCAAATTGATGTCAGAGTTGGTCGCTGCAGCACTCCCAATCATCACAACGTTTGTTTTTTCTATATTAAGTTGAAGGTTGTTGTTAGAAAACCAATTGTGTAGTAAACTGAAGTTATTTTGTATTTGTGCTGTTTTCGCAGTTAGTACTGTAGTGGCGTCATCTGCAAATAATACCAGTAAATCATCAATTACTCCAGGAAGACCATTGATGTATAAAAGAAGTAGGAACGGTAACAATATCGATCCTTGCGTCACTCCTTGTAGAACCCGTACCCATTTTGATGCGAGTTAATTTTCATTTCGTTTATAAGCGATAACACACTGTTCTCTGTCGGAGAGGTAAGATCTGAACCACTCTACCACAAGGCTTCGATATTCCCATAACACTTTTTCACTCGTACGCTGATGACACCCAGATTTATTACTCGTTTCTACCTTCAGATCTTCAACGCGCCATGGGTATTATTAACAACGATATATCAAATATTTTACAATTCTCGAGAGATCACTCCCTACACATCAATAGCGCTAAAACTACAGCTACTGTCTTTGGCACGGATCATGCGCGCTCACTTTTACGCCCAATAACCTTAGTTATAGATGGACAACATATTGAAGTACAAAATACGGTGAAAAGTCTGGGTGTAATAATGGACGGTCAGCTGTCGTTTACAAAGCATATCAATCTCACCATACAGAGGGCCTTCGCGGCACTAAAGGTGATTTTTAATAACAGGTTTTCACTAAATCAAAATACAAAAAAACTACTATGCGACCTACTAGTGCTGTCTAGATTTAACTATTGCGACACTGTTTATGGCGCTTTTTTGTCAGCGGTGGATGTGGGTAGAATACAGAAAATGCAAAAATCGTGTCTGAGATTGATATATGGTATTCGTAGCCGTCAACCTATATCGTACAAATTAAAAGAAGTGAAGTGGTTAAACATGGAGAATCGACGTTTATTGCATTGTTTATGTATGTATCACAAAATTATCACCAATAAGTCACCACCATATCTGTACGAAAAATTAACTTATCGTACAGATGTGCATAATCTCAATCTCAGACATAGAGGCTTGCTTGAAATACCTGCACACCGGATAGAGTTTTTTAAACGATGCTTCTCATATCAGATAGTCTTGAAATACAATTCGCTACCAAATGAGTTTAAAAAATGCGCGTCGAAACAATTTAAAATCAAGTACACACGATACCTCTGTGCTCTCTCTGGCTTTCGTGTCTGACGCCTGTCGCAGTTTCAAGCTCTGTGGCTGTTTCAGTGAATTATTCAATGTAACAGTGAACTGTTGTTTCTCTGTTTTTTCTGCTTCGTTCGATGATGGGTCTGCATTTCATATAATATTAAGTTTTTGTTTTATCTTTTTTTTCTCTTTTTTAAGGTTAGGGAAAATTTAATTTATCGTTGTTCTTTTGTTGTTTGTAGTTTATTTTTTGAGTTCATTTGATCAATTGTGCTTCTTTTTTTTGTGTTTAATGTAATATAAAGGTTATGTTTGAAAAGCGTCTTGTCGCAATTTTGCGTCAGACGAAACATCGCCAATTTTCATTCCTATGTATATCGTTTTGGTTTTTTACTGTTTGTTTGTATATATATATATATATATACTTGTTTTGGAAATGGAAATAAAGTTTATTATTAATATTATTATTATTAACAATATATACGTCGTTTAAGCGTTCGATTTTACGGAATTCCCAAGGAAAAGAATGAGAGCATTGAGGGGAAGGTGATAGAGATTATTAATGAGAAGTTGCAAATTCCGATTACTGCTGATTGTATAGACCGTTGTCACCGAGTGGGTTCCTACGAGGGCAAAGGCAAGAAGCTGCCGATTTCTGTTATTGTTAAATTCGTTAGTTACAAGTCTCGGGCCAAAGTTATGAAGGTAAAATCAAAGTTAAAGGGTTCTCGTATGGCGGTTTGTTAGGATTTAACATCACCCCCATTTACGTTATTGAAAAAGGCTCGCGAGAAATTCGGTAACACGTATGCATGGTACCATGATGGTAAAATATTTGTTAATTGTAATAATTCTACTATTTGTATAAAACCAGCGGCAGATGTCGAACGCTTCTTCAAAATAATGTAAAATGATGTGAAAGTTTCTTTTCTTATTGGCACTCTTTTTCTTTTTGTTTTGTTTTTATTTGTTTCTTTTTCTTCTCTTTTTTTTCCTTTCTCTCTTCTTCTTCCCTTGGCGATTATACTTTGTCGTATTGGCTTCTATAGCGCGATTTCGTTTTGCTTTGGTGTTGTTATTATTACCATTATTTGTACTATTGTTATTATCATTGATACCTTTTTTTTGCTGCCTCTTTGGTTTTGATATTTGTTTTCACAGAGCGATTTGCTCAGCGTAAATCTATATTACTGGTCTGACTGAAACCTGGTTAAACGATTCTCATGACATTAGAATAACCTATTGAAGAAGTACCTATTTAAATATTGATTCATATTCTTTCTTGCGGTAAGATAGATGTAGCCGTGGCGGTGGAGTGGCGATGTATATCGGAAATAACATAAAATATAGTATTATCCCAACTAATAGAACAACTATGGATTCTGATTCGGCTCAATGGAACGGCAATGGCTGTCGGTGTTGTGTACAGACCCCCTAATCTTAATCTTGTTAGTTTTATGGAGGAACTTGAGAATAGTTTGGCCGCAATTGCACCTGAGTGTGATGATTTGGTGTTACTCGGCGATTTTAATGTAAATTTATTGAGGTGTGATAATCAAACTTCAGCTTTGCTCGATTTAACGTCTTCTCTTGGTCTAGTTCAAATTATTGATTCCCCCGTGTGACTGTTTGTCGGTCAGTCTAATTGACTTAATTTTTCTTTCGAATCAGACATCATTACTTAATCAAAATACCGAACATGTAAACATATCTGATCATGATTTAATTTACTGTGAACTTGGCGTTGCGACTAAAGTATCTCTCCCGTG